TGTGAGCAAACCCACTGACTGTACAGTTAGCATAATACCATGTGAGCAAACCCACTGACTGTACAGTTAGCATAACACAAGGACTGTTTGTAATTCTTTGCACAAAGGATAAATCCACACCAGTATGTTATCAATACATAAGTATTGGTTATTTCAGTTCTGAGCCAGAGACTCAATACATCATTAGTATTTCAATACAAACAACTCTGTCTCTAAGTAGACTAGAAGTACAAAGCTACGCTGTTCATCGATGTACATCATTATCCATGATAGGCATGCATGCAAGACTTGCTGCATACATGCAGGACATAGAAACCAATATGTTGTTGTGAATATTGAATATTTTTTTTAATGATAATCTTTAGGGGGTTCTGGATAAATTCTTTTATTTTACGCTAATCATGAATAAAAAGAGAATGTCCACAGACAGAAAACATGCACAAGTATGGTGATATATGGTCAACTTTTTTTCGAGGGGGCGGGGAATTATTTATTTATTTGTATATTAATTCATTTAAGATTTAAGCCTGAGTAAACATTTGTTTTGGTCTCACAAGCCAAATAGTATGACACATATTACAACTTTACTGCTATTTGATTATAGGATATAAAATGTAAACGAGACGGAGAATGAAAAGATAACTTGACACTATTTTTCACACACCCCACCCCCTTTGATAATGGAATAGCTGACCTGTGATAGAACAGGTTATTGCACTACTGTTGTCAATTATAAATAATAATAAACAGACATAGTACTATCACCTGGGCATATTCCATGTACATGTTGTGCTTACAAGCTTACAGTTGTCAATTAGCACTAATTAATGCCAAAGGGGTGAAAAAGTTAAATTACTATAGCACAGTGGACTGGCATTGATCAAATGCTGCCTGGCAGCTAAGTTCAATATCGTTCATGTGTGATGTCCAGGGGTTTTCTCAGCTTTGGGTGAGAATGTACCATGATGCCACAGAAAATCACTACTTAACATTGTGTCTATGACCACGTACATGTATATGTATATATGTGTTATTAAATCAAAGCATTTTGTGAAAAGTATCATTTTAAGGGGAAATGTTTTTATATTTAAACTAATAAGATGTACCGGTAAAAGAGCAAATAAATGGACAATGTTTAAAAAGTAGCCCCTGTTTAGAACTAGTAACCATCTTTCCAATACATTTACAAAACGTTTTACATTGAAAATGCAAGTACACACCAGTCCAATTGTACTCAGTGTGAAGTTTACAACAAAGTACAACCCCCTTATAAAACAAGGATCATTACGGAAATAGTAAGTTTGGTATTTGTTGCATATACTTTGTAATGTGCACCACACCATACACATACTGTAGAGACAAACAGAAGTCTACAACAGGGAGGCACCAGTTTTACTTTGTCTGAAAGCAATACACCAAGACAAGCTGTTTGTATTCACCTAAATTGATACATGAGAAAGCAGGAATTCTGACAAAGTACAGAATGTTATATTGGAATGTTTACATGTACCCAGGGTGTGGAGTTGCACGTTAATTGCCAGACATTAACCGTGGCATAAACATTACATATAGCCTACTTGGAGCAAGAAACAATAAAGACATGCTTCAACAGTTTGCTAAAGACTTGATGTTCAACAGTTGGCTTTAAAATAAAGCAAGGCACCACAAAGTTGTATTTTTACAACTCAACTCAATGATAGTGGTAGTTATAATTGTCTGTATTCATCTTGTTAAAATATCAACATTAAAATTGTATTTTTTCTATTATACAATTTCTGTTGTAATATTTCTTTATGTTTTTAGCATTTTCCCCAAAATATTCTTGAAAAAAAAAAAAAAATTGTTATACCATATATTTACTTTTGGGAAAAGAGATGACTAACTATTACCACATGGACAACATTCAGTACTAATTAATAAAAAAAAAATGTCCATCTGTAATTGGACAGGAAACTGTGAAGAACATAACATTTCTCAGAGAGGGAAGTTACCAGATTAAAGATAACAATTTTAGACATGCGTGTACATTATGATCCAATCAATAAATATAATACATTTTTAAAATGACATTTTAAGTATTTTTACTTGGAATTTATATGTTGTATTCACAGAAAGAATAAATCACTGAAAAGTAACTGCAAGTTTGATCCTACTGATGAGGAGTTGGTGAGAATAAAAGTAACACTCTGCAAGTTTGATCCTACTGATGAGGAGTTGGTGAAAATAAAAGTAACACTCTGCAAGTTTGATCCTACTGATGAGGAGTTGGTGAG